GCAGTTAGTTTAGGAACTAAGGGGCTGAATAGCTTTTGAGGTCCAGTATGGAGTGAGTGAGCTGATTCTCAGATGGTTCTGAGGGTCAGGTCTGTCTGAACAGTGCCCTCTGAGATCTCACAGGCCTCCTACCACAGTCCTTTTATCCCCAGGGGCTGGAGGTCCTCAGCCTTCCAAATTTTATACCTTGCCTTCAAGAGTTCTGTCCCTCCCAGATGCTGATGCTGTTGGTGTACCTTCAGTACCCTGCCAGGTGCCCTGCCTCCCGTTTCTACCAGTGAAATCCTCTTCACTTGTCAAGGCTCTGCTGAAACACAACCTCTCTCAGGAAGATTGTAATCTGTCTGATCGGAATTCCTTTCTGCCTTCCCTGAGCTCCCATGCAGGTGTACACCCACAGTAGCACAGGCTGCCCGAGTGCTGGTTAGCTCCCCGACCTTTGTACACAGCCCATCCGCCCCCAAGACTGGGAACTTCTGAAGGCTGGGAATGAAACCTTACCACAGACCCCTTGCAGCCTGATTATAGAGAGCACTCACCTCAGAACTTGGGTGGTGAAGGAGAAAAGACAGAAAGGAAGCTGTGCCTGGCTGAGATATAACTGAGAGGTAACAGGCAGAGCCGAAATACAGCAACCCGGGGCTGGGGAGGAACTGGTCTGTCCTCCTCCCACAAGCTGAATGAATGGGCTGATCCCCCTGGACAGTTTCAAGGGGGTGTGCTTCAGAAAATGCCCCTTTCTCTGCTGCAATGCCCATGTTATCTGGGTGCTCACGGTGAAGCCAGTAATTCCTTAAATCCATCTAGCAACCCTTTCAGGAATTTCCGGCAAGATGATATAGGGCTGTAGAGTTTGTTCTGCATGTAGCAATCAGAAAGAGGAGCCTGGAGGAGGAAATTACCTGCTTTGCCCCAGGACCCTGGAAGGAGCAGAGTGAGCAGGAAGGCGGGTCTGACTACTGTGGTTCAACCTTGATTGTTTCCCGATTTCTGTTTGCCTCTGGAAACCCTTGGATCATGGCCCATGCATTTCTCAGGAAGGTCATGCTGGGGTGGGCGGGGATGGATGCAGGCTATGTAGGCCTTGGCTACACTGGCTAAGGTGACTTCTGAGTCCCTCCTCCTGCACCAGAAGCTGTGCTCAGGAGCCTATATATTTGCCTAATCTACCTAACAGCCCTGCAATTTACCCCCATTGTTATCCCATTTTAGACATAAGAGAATGAGGCTAGGGGAGACTAGATTACTTGACAGCATTATATAATGGGAAGATTACAGAACAGAATTCAAAGTCAGATCTGTCTGGCTCCAAAGCCTGTGTTCTTTCTACCCAACCTTGCTTAGAATGAAAGGCCTGTTTCTTTACCATCCTTCTGGCTGGAGGGTCTCTGAGGTCCTTCAGTCTCTAACAGGGCATCACCAGCAGGCTCCCTCCAGGAGCTGCCTACTAGGGGACCCCGGATTTGCCCTTCTTTCTCTGCTGCAAGAAAAGAAGAGCTGCCCCAGGAGTATTTCTTAGTGTTTGATTGTACTCTTTTGCTGTACATTTATCCTCACAGCAAACAAACCCCCAAAGCTGAAGGCTCCCTTTTGACTCATTCCTTGAGGTGGCAGCCACTCTTCTATGTCTGTACTCAGCCTGAGCATCCAGTTTGGTCCCACCTTCAGCCTCCAGATCATGTGCCCAGCACCGTGTTCACAAAGCTCCCTTGGTCATTCTTCAAATGGTCCCAGCACTGTTTGCTTGGCCACCTCAGTTTTTTGGCATCTGGACAATGGCCAGAAGAGCTACTCCACAGACGCTCACTTTTAATTTTTCCTTCGAGAAAGTCAGGGGACTCCCCAAGTAGACAAGGACCCCTGCCGTTCATTCTCTCTCACATCTGCTGTCACCTGGGGCTCCATGGCTGTGTTAGGAAGAAGACAAACTGGGTTGTGTGTGGATTAAAAATAGCTGAACTGTTATTCATTTTTAGTGGAATAAAGCATTTCACTTCTTTCCCTAAATCATGGCACCTGTGGCCCTGGTTTAAAGTTTCTGGCTTCCTGGGCTAAACTATGAGCTCTGGGAGGGTGTTGGGCTCCCTGCCATTGGACACCACAAGTCTAGTACAGGGTCTGGCACAAAGAAGAGACTCAAATAATAGAAGGCAAAGGGCAAGGGGACAGCTGCTACAAAGTCCAGGACTGCACCTCTGAATATGGAAACACAAAGGACATTTGAATTACCATCGGCAATTGCTCCTCCATTCCCAACCAAAGCTCCCTAAAATCACATCATGCCTCCTGCCAATTTCTCCCATTGGAACAAGCCTGTTGATCCTGCCAGCCTGCAGGGGAGTTTATGGTGCCCTTCATAATGGCATAGAACTTCGTCAGTCTCTAGTGGCCTGCTGTTCCTTACCCTGTTTCCTTGAAGGTGCCCTTATTTTTTTCTCATCCAGCACCATGTTCTTTCTTTGCTTCTTATGGCAGGTCCTGCACAACTTAGTATACCTTTGGCCAGCACACAACATAAGTAGGAGAGATTGGCTTCAGCAGAGGCCAATAACAGAAACCCAGTAACAGAACACATGGCCAGATGGCCCAGCAGAGCACTCACTGGCAGAGAGCGGTCCCAGCCAGGCAGTGGCCGGCAGAGGTGAGTGCCCAGTGCAGTCAGCCAAGCCTGCCCTTGTCCAAGAGCAGAGTTCAGCAGCACTGAGGCCCTGGGAACAATGGGCAGTTCCTCCTGGAACCGGGGGAGGGGAGTGCTGCAGCTGAAGCCGAGCAGAGCGGCCAGCCCACTGCTATTTCTGAAGGAGCCCAGTGTGGTTACTCAGTGAGCTGTAATTAAGCTATCTGTAATTTGATAAGTGGGAGTAGCCTCACATTTTAGAGAGTAATTAAGTCTCACTGAGAGAGCAGCACAAGGTGCTTCTGGGCCCTGCATTCCTTGATGTTGGTCCCCATTCACACTCTTGCTCTCTTCTAACACATGCCCATCAGTGCTGAGGCCAGGATGGTCCTCAGCCCCAGCCCTGGGAATATTTCCTGGCCATGCTCTCTCCACCTCAGGCCCTCCATCAGTGCCCAGGCCACTGGCAGATCCCACAGACACAGCAGACACACCTGCAGGGAGACACAGGAAAGGCTCAGCCTCCTTTCATGCTGCTCTGTGCAAAATCATGGGTGAAGTTAAAGCTAAATGCTCCATGCCCATCACTGCTCCAAGGCTACAGGTCAGCCTCTGACCGAGCAGTGTCCAACCCAGCTCAAGGGCCCTAATGTGGAGTCGAGTCTAATGTGGCTTGGGGTGGAAGCCAGGGGTTTCTGCCTTTGCTCTCCCATGTCCTGGCTCTTCCTGGGCAAATCACCTCCCCTCACTGGGGCTCAGTTTCCTCATCTGTAAACTGGGAATAGTGGTCCTATCTAACTCACAAGCTCTTGGTGAGGATCAGGTGAGAGATGAGTCATAAGCGCACTTTGTGTCATAAGGGAGCACATGAGTGTGAGAAGTTCTCAGCATCTCATCAGATATACTAAAACCTGTCTCAAAATTTGTTGCTTGAGGGACTCAGGGGGCCATTCAGCCTGGTGTGTCTCATAAAGAACAAGAGATTGTGTAACCACAGCTGAAACCTTCTGTTCAGACAATGAGGAGTATGGAAACCTTGTCAGATGAGGGACCTGGCCTCTTGCACCTGCCTTGGCCATTTTCTAATACCTGGTGGTGTGTGTGTTGTTCTGGGTCATAGCCAAGTGCCAAAGCAGTTATGTTAGAGGTGGCAGATTTCAGCTCAGTCTTTGGATAAATTTTTCCTAACCAAGGAAATGCCATCTTAAGAAGTAATGAGCTCCTTGTCACCAAAGGGCTTCAAGGCCTGGCCAGCTTTCAGGAGCTGGAAGTGAGGCTTGATGATGGCCAAGTCCCTTTCCCTTCCCTAACGTTCCAGGGGTCCTGGCAGCCTCACACAGCCTAGTTCCAGGTCCTATATCTCTGCAGGTGCTCACCCTATATCTCTGAAGCTGCCACTCACAAACCACCTTCCTTAGTGCCGACAGGCACCAGGAAAGCCTGAGAATGCTCTGGGGTTGTTTGTTGTTTGTTTTGTTTCCACCAGAGCCCCAGAGCCCTCCGTGTTCCACACCCTTATCTGAGGATTCTCAGCCTGTGCTCATATAACCCTCATGACCTTTGAGGGCAGTTCCAGAATCTGTCCAAGGTTTGGGTCTTGGTATTCCTAGAGCATGCCCTGGAAATGCCCCATAAGGGGCAGTGTTAGCCCAGCTGAGGCAGATTTCCTACTGAGGAAGCTCTTCCTGCAGCCCTTCTCTCCCAGCAGTGGTGCCTAGGGCCCAGAGGGGGAAGGGAAGTTGATGGCTCATGTGGTGGCACTCTGTGGTTGTTACTGTGCATATGCTTACAGAGTTTTCTCACTGTTACATAACGGAGGTATTTTTTTTCCCCTCCTTATTTTAGATTCCAGTGCCATCTGCCCTGCTTTTCATGCATCACTAGCTCCAGCCTGGAGGTTAGCTATGGCTTAGCTGCCTACTTCTATCCCTTACTTGGGGTAATATTTCCTTAAATGTGCAATGAGATAATAACCCCACCCTGCCAACCTCTCTGGATCATCGTGGCATTCAGGTGTGAGGAGGAGGTAGACTGGCTGTATAATGTGCCCAGGGCTGTACAGATGTGCCTGGCTGTTATCTGGCATCTCAAGCCTGATGCCACCCAAGCTGAGGGAGCCTCTGCTTGCTCATGTCTGCACCTGCACCAGAAGAGCTTCGCACAGTTAATCACCATTGAGAATATCTGGAGGGAATGTGCTCTGGGCTTTTCAGTCTCTGGGATAAAAATTAAAAACCAGGCAGCCTGCAGACCAGCCTAGCAGTCCTGTCTTACTTCAGGACACCCCAGTGAAGATGCAGCTTCCCCAGTGTTCAGGGTACTGCTTATCCTGACCCAGAGCATGTGACCATTTCCCCTTCTCTCAAGTCCCCAGGTATCCATTGTTAACTCCAAGTGTTATTCCATTTTCCTTTAATTAAATAAATCATGGAACTCAAATCTCCCAAGATGAAAAAATGCACTTCTGAAAGGCAAGATCTGTAACTCGAAGGGACCTTATTGTTATGTAAACATGATGGCCATCAATGTCCCTCTCTGGGCTCTGATGGGTATCAGCCCTGCCTGCCCACCCCATCACCCCCACTGGCCCTCTCTGCTTCACCCTGCACAGCAAGCTGGGCAGGGCATCCCTGATGCAAGACAGAGGGAACCAAGGCCCAAGAGGCAGGCTGAATTTGCTTGTTGTGAGACCCCCTTTTCCATGGCACTGCCTGAGTCCAGTGGCCAGCTCCAGCTGCCTAGGTCCTTTAGCCTTCTCCTGGCACAAGTCTCCACATTTAAGCCAGGCAACTACTAGAAGAACAAGAATGCTGTTTCTGCAGGGACCTGTGTGTCTGTGTCCAGGTTGTTTCGGAGGTGAGCATCACAAACCCTGAGAGACCTCAGTCTTGGGGCCAGTGAGCTCCCAAGTCGGGAGCACTAGCCCCACGGGCGGCAGAGGAAGCATGTCGCCCTCTAGCGGCAAGCTGACACTTTCAAGGAAAGGTGGCAGTGCTAGTTTGATTTGTGGGGCTGGCGGTCAGGACCCTGTCCTAGGCCGGCAGCCACCAGGAGGAGGACGCTTGGTTTCAGTTCAGAGGGGGGCCCTGGGCAATCACAGGGATTGCAGCCTCCAAACCCAGACCCAAGAAGTGATAATGCAGACTCTGCCCATCAGTGACCCGGCTTCCTAATTAAAAATAAGGCCACAGCAGGAAGGTAAGCCAGCAATGAAGGCCACCCTGAGCCCTATAGAACAGATGTGTGTGTGTCTGTGAGTGTGAACATGTGAGTATAGAACATATGTGAGTGTGAGCATGTGAGTATAGAACAGATGTGTGTGTGTGAGTGGAGCATGTGACTATAGAACAGATGTGAATGTGAGCATGTGAGTATAGAACAGATGTGTGTGTGTGTGTGTGTGAGCATGAGCATGTGAGACAGGCAGGGAACCTGGACCCCTGGGGGAGAAGATGCCACAGTGCCCTGCCTATGTACCACTGTTCCTGACAAGGAGACCCATCAACATGGCTCCCACCCCAGGCAAATCCAAGCAGACCCACCAGAAACAAACTGCCCTTTTCGCCAAGGAGCACCCTCACGTGAGTCTGTCCTAAGTCCTAAGAAAGGTTGAAGAAATCTCAAATGGCAATCTCCACATTGTCCCTACCCCTCCCAAAGTCAGCTCTGAAGCCCGGGCTACGGGCCACACACACCAGCACCATGGCCATGCAACACGGCACAGTGGGCACATGTTATGTATGGCTCAGGCAAGGACACAGAGCTCATCAGAGGATACTCAGATAACTGGAGCAGCCCTGGAACACAAAATGTGAAGCATTTCTACAGCAGTGGTAGAAACACACAACTTGGACTATTTATAAGCAATAAAGGGCTATTAATATATCCTATTTGGGCTGCAAATTCTTCATGTACAAAAGAAAAATAATCTGTTCTTTTTACCCATGAGGTTGGTTTAAGGATCAAATGAGGTAAATTTTTTAACTGTTTTGCCTTAAAAATGTAAAGGATTGGATTCTATTTTATAATAAATCTGTTTTTAATATAAAGATGCCCCCCAGAAATCTCTGTATGAAATCAACTCCAGAAAAATGGATGCACCATGTTTGCCCTGAGGTTTGGGGGCCCTGCCCACCACTCGGCACCCTAATTAAGAAGGCCCGAGCCACTCGTTGTGCACACAAGCTGGGCTGGGCTACCCCCTCTGGTTAATGCTAAACTGGAAGTGGGTCCTCCTGGGACTGCAGAAAATCCACAAATCAGTAACTAAGAGGTGATTGACACATAAGCTCCTCCCTCCCTCCCTGCTTCCTCTTGCCTCCCACCAGGGCTCCCCAGCAGAGGCCAGAGTGAAACCCTTCAGTGTATGTAGATCCTGTCGGAGACTGCTCCGGGCAAGTGGGTCATGATCTGCATTCGCAGCCACCAGTAGTAGTCCATGGGGTGGTAGCGAGTGTAGGGGGTGGCTGAGGTCAGGGCATGGGTGACAGCGTTGATGACGGGGGACGTGTCGGTGGAGCCACTGTTGCAGTAGGTCTCCATCCTGGTGATCTTCTCATCAAAGTACTTCTTGCCATAATCCCTGCGCACCACCTCAGGCAGCTCATCCCACATTTTACTGGCAATGGCTTGGATGCGCTCAGGACTGTACAGGCTGGTGGCAGCGATGAAATTGCCGGGCTCTATCACACTGACCTTCACGCCCAGCGGGTGCATCTCATAGCGCAGGCAGTCTGAGAAAGCCTCCACTCCGAACTTGGTGATGCAGTAAGGGGAGCGGGCTGGGTTGGCCATGCGGCCCAGCATGCTGCTGATATTGATGACACGGCCTATAAAGACAGCAAACACCTGCTCAAGAGAGACAGAGGGCCTGGGGCCCGGCATGTTTCTGAGGGCCGGCCAGGAACCTGGTCCCCCTGGCCCCTGACCCTCGTTTTGCTGCCTGCCAGGCTGGGGCCTGGCCTTCTGAAACACCCAAGGTTGGTGGGGGGCTCCTTATGTGTAGTCAAGCCCAGCTTGGTCTCAATCATTGGCATCAACATGCTGGGGTTTCTCAGATAGCCTGCTTAGCTGGGCAGCACAATGGAAGAGAAATGAGTGAGAAGCAGGCCTGTACACCACAGGGGGATGCACAGCTATGCTATGGTTCACCTCTCATATTCTCTCTGAACATTTATACCCCAAATTGTTATCACCCAGCAGGGCTCTGTCTACAAGCAGGCAGGGATGGGGCAGGGTTCTGAACCCGACTTCAGGACTAGGACATGTGGGCAGTGTCTGGCACTGGGAGAGACTGATGACTTCAAGAGGCTTTCCCACAGACCCCAGCCTGGCAGCAGCACCTAACACCTCCCTGGGACCACAGGGTGGAGGTGGAGCCCATGAGCCTGGCCAAGTAAGCCCAGGCAGACCTGGGACCTGCTGGCCCTAGGTATGCACCAGGAAGGTAAGGCACAGCCCCATCCTGGGCACTGTGGAGAAGCACCTTTCAGAAACCTCTAACATGACAGTAGCTGAAGGGTTGGGATGGCCTTCTAAAACCCTAGAACTGCTGGCTGGGTTCATCCTGTCATTGCTGGGTCTTTGGGATAGATTATATGGATCTTCCCCATGTTGCCATAATTGTTTGCTCTCCTAGGGAGAAAATCTGAGTCAGTGACTTCTTAAATGGTTTACTTATATTTGGCTACCTAACATGATTTGCTGTTTTGTTTTCCAAAGTTCTAAATCTTAATTATTCTTTTTTTGCTTGCTACTATTGTCTCATTTTTAAACTATGGCATGGTAACCCGTAGAATGGATATATGTGACCATTCACATGACCACACCCCTATTAATACCTGATGTGTACACACAGCAATGTGCGCAAGGGTGGGTTTTTCTCTAGATCAGGTTTCCAGAGTGGTAGCACTACTGTAATCTTCCTTTGGTGCATAGACTACTGACCTCTTACCTGGTCTACTTTCTAAAAACCACAAGCCTGTGTGCCCACCTGGCCACAGCACCTCAGCTCACACGGCCCACAGGCTCCTACAGGGCTCTTGGGAGTCGTGTGCTCAGCCTTACTGGGCTGTGTTTCTCCCATCTGTTGAGAACTACTTCTATTTTGCAGCAAAGTTTAAAATATGGGGAAGATCCAGGAGGCAGGAAAGAGGTCCTTTTCCAACTCACCTTTGGCCCTTCGGATGAGGGGGAGAAAGGATTTTGTCATCCGCACTGTGCCCCACAGGTTCACCTCTGCCACCTCCTTGTAGGTCTCCATGCTAGTGAACTCCACCTCCCCAAATGTCGAGATGCCCGCATTGTTCACGAGGCCCCACATGCCTGGACAGGAGGGAACAGAACCATGGTCACCCTGTGGGCTTGGCCTCTGATGACCCCCCCATCAGGCTGGAGCCCATTCCCCTCCCCACTTTCATGCTTTTCTCCCCAGGATCTGCCAGCTTCTGGTCTAAGGTTCTGGGGATACTTCCTAGAGTCACGCAGAATAACAGGAGCTCGAGACACCCACAGTGCTGGCTGTGACCCTCCCTTACATCTTCAATGTCTGATCCTCATCTCACTTCTGACTGCATCCATCCTCTGGGCACATCATGACCCAGTCCTGTGTGTGCCCTCACACAGGAGGCCCCTCACCTCCCTCACACCCACTCTGCTCCATCCAGCCTCATCCCCACATCCTGTACCCAGCCACCTGTTTACTCCTGCCTCTGAGCCTCCCCTTGCACTCTCTCTCTTGCCAGAAGCCAGGGGAACCTCAGGAGTCTTCCAAGCTAAGACCCCTCTGGAGCACCAGGAGGAGACCCAGCCTTGATCTCGGGGCTGGCCCCAGTCCTGCTCTATCCCGAGACCTCCCTAACAATTATTCCACTTTCTCATCTCCCCTCTCTGCCCCATGCACTATTTACTGGTTATCATATGGTAAGTCCATGACATGGTAACCTGTTCATCAGTATCCCATGTGACACACCTGGACTCTGCAGGTAGGGAATGCCCTTTGTGTGGTCCCATGGGGCTGAGTACAGGGTCGGAGCAAAAGTACACTCTCTGAGTATACTTGGGTTGCCTATTCCCTGCAACACCAGCTAAGGGACAGCTGGCTCCTGCAGATTCAGAGAACGCTGGTGCTGGAAGGATTCTCGGAGTTCATTTAGTCTAACTATTCTTACCGCTAGGGAAATGGAGGCCCTGCAGGGAGAGGCATCAATAAGTCAGAGGCAGAGCTGAACTGGGGAACTGACCCTGGGGAGGAAGCCTTGCTTTGCAAGGTCCCCTGTGGGCCATTTTCTGGGGTGCAAGGGCTGGCTGGGCTGGAGCGTCAGGACAGAGCCGGCCCTGCCTCTTTGTTGTGGAAACCTCAGGGTTTAGTCTCTCTGAGAGATTCCCCTTTCAGGGGCTGCCCTCCCTCCCACCAGCTGTCCCCCAGCCTATGGGAATTCTGGCCGGGCTTCACATTCCAAGTTAATCATGGAAATGAGTTTGTGTAAATGACAGAGTAATTGGTCTCTAGCTGCTTTCCTTCCGTGTTACCCAAAGTAAAGTTTAGTTAACTGACCTCTGGTGACTTCTCCTTTTGTTTGGAGAATTATGGACATTTATTAGAGAAAGGAAATTGCAGGTTAACAACGTGCCCATGAAGCTACCCCTCCCACTCCCAGTGGTCAGACTGAAGCCTTCTGCTGTCGGGTCTCACCACTGACCACACAGTGACACAGCAGCCACCACAACCCCCCAACAGCGACCGTCCAGCCTGCAGACCTCCCAGGAGGAGCAGCAGGCCTCTCTATGCTTGGCAGGGCTGACACTTCACCCTCCACCTTCCAGACCACAGGCCAGTGATCCTTCTCTCTCTTCTATGCAACTTCAACTCTCCCCACCCCTGGCTCCCTCCCTCAAAGCTGTACACCTGAGATGCTCAATTAATGTCTGTCAGGTGACTGAATGTCTGCAAATACCGTGTTTCCAGGCCTTAAAGAACCTTAACCATGATATCCCCTCATACCACTGTCTCCTCTCCTTCCCTCCATGGCCAGGCCTCTGAGAACACAAACCATACTCCAGTGTCCCATTTCCCTGCCATTCTGGGTCCCAGTCCTACTGCTGCTCCAAGGCGTACAGGGTGCCACAAACTAAGGATGCCAGCCCTCACCCCATTTTCACTCAACCTCTTCATATTATGAGCTCTACGCAGTTCTTGACTCTTCCCTCTCCCTCTCCTGCTGGGCATTAACACTACCCAAGTACCTCCTTCCTCCCTGACACCTTCCTTCTACCTGGTCCCTAAAAACAGGTGTCCCCCAATGTCCTGTCCTAGACCACCTTCTCTCAAACTACACTCAGTGCTTAGACAGCCCTGTCTTCTTTATGTTCATGGAAATTTCCAGCTGCTTTGTGTTTGAGTCATACAATATCACATGACCTAAAATATATACAGCCTTTTTTCCATCCAAAAACTAATTACATCTGGCACTGATATCAAAAAAAGCTTAATAGAGCTTGACCTGTGAAGGCATATGGCTCCTGGATTACCGCTCTGCTGATTTGAGAAGTAGTAACAGTTGGTGGACCCAGGAGCTCTCTGGAGTCTTCAGCCAACATGTTGAATAAACACAACATTCCTGCTGGTCTGGGTGACAGCTGTTTTCTTGCAGCAGCCACAGCGCCACCATCGTGTCCATGAGGTTCCCATGTGCCCCTGGGAGTCACGGCTCTCTCCTAAGCCTGCTCCCCACCTCCTGACAGTCACTTTCTCCTGATGTCCCACAGGTCCCAGCTCCCCCTACCCACACCAACACACCAACTTCCTGGCTGCCCATGCCTACTCCTCCTCTTTGCTCCCACTTCACCTCATGTGTGACTCCTCCAGCTTCCTCACTTCTTCCCCATCTAGTGAGAGCTGCTAATATTACCAGAATGATTGGATGGACAGCGGCCAGGCCCTGAACTCAGTTCTATGCATCCATGAATCCATCTGGTCCTCACAACCACCCTATAAGTAGACACTAAATTGTTCCTTATCTGGATGAGACAACTGAGGCCCGCAGAGGCAAAGCGCCATGCTCTGTGTCATCCAGCTCGCCAGTAGACATGACATAACAGGGACCCAGGTCTGTGGGAGGACACAGCCCTCACACTCACCCCATGCTGCTGTCGCTTCCTTTGCTGTGTCACTGGAATTCGTGTCTTTCTTCCTATTTCCGCAGTGTTAGTTTGGGTCCCTGTCACCTCCCTCCTGTGTCATTGGAGAAACCTCCCCAGGCTCTCCCTGTGGCAGTCTCTCTCCCCCACCTCCATACTGACCTGACCCCCTCAGCCAGACTCCCCTCCTCAGTCACTTCCCGCTCTGACGGCCCCCTTCTGTGGTGGGCTCTGTGAGGCCTCCTTTCCCACGCTTCTCACCCCCTCCTCTTCATGTATCCTGCCCTCTGCAAGCCTGAACAACCAGCCGCTCCTCTGACAGCTTGGCCCTTCCTGCCCCTGCTGCTTCCGGGCTCTGTTCAGCAACCCTAGTCCTCGGCCTGACAGCAGCTTTTCCTGAAGTTCTTCTCCCTGTGCTGCCGCGGTGCTCAGTCTAGGTGTGAGCACTGGTGGGCTCGCAGAGCGATTTCTCTACTTCATAGCCGGGCGAGCTGAGGCCCACACAACCCAAGGCCACACTTCAACCAAGCAGTGACACCCGGAGTGAACCCAGTCTTCTCACTCCCAGAGAGCGGGGGCTCCAGATGTAAGGTCTCCCCTGTCAACAGCAGGAGGTCCCCCGGGCTGCAGCCATTCATCACAGGCCCTGCTGTGGAGCCACCTACTTCCACTGGGCTGGCGTCCAACTATAAACTCCTCCTGCAGGGTCACATCCTTTCTGGCATTCAGCACACTACCAATTACACAACAGGTACTCAATAGATGTTTACTGACTGCAAGGTAGTGATGGTCTCAAGGTCAGGCCACTCCCATGGCCTGAAGGTTTGTTCACTCATTCAGCCTTTCCCTGGGGTGGGAGAGGGAGGTCTGCTCACAGGGTCCAGTGTTCAGTCCCTCAGAGACCTGCTGGGGAGCAGAGGGGCTGCTGGCAGGTGGCTCACTAGCTCTTTTCTGACAACCCCTTCATCTCACCCCCTGTAACTGGTTCCCCTGGCTTTGCCAGCAACTGTTCCACAAAGCCAAAGTGAAGGGCATCAGACTTGCCATCACAATGTGCTCTTCACGGTGGGGGAGGCTGGGGGAGAACGGGGCTGGTCTCCTGGAAGGTTCTTGCCTGGGTGGATGGGTGGACTGAGCCACAAGTCACCGTCCGCTTAGGGAAGGCAGGCTGGTGTGACAGCTCTGGAGGGCGCCACCTGGAGGTCTAAGACAATATAGCGCTGAGAAGGGGGAAATCTGCACTGTTGTACCAGGACAAAGACAGCCCTTGGGAAGGGGAGGCCAGATGAGGGGGAGAGAGACCTGAGTAACCACATGTACAACAGATTTATTTTCTTTTTCACACCTAAAAATCCTCAAATCTTTTTCCAAGAAATTCCGTATTGGTTAAGGAAGGTCATGCAAGTGGTTTATCAGCCCTCGCCAGAATTTGTCCTGTAGAAAAGAGGAGGGAAAGGTCTGTGCATCAGGGCGGTACCAGGTTTGAGCCCAATCCAAGGGCAGGGGGTTGAGTGCCTTCCCCTTGGGGCCAGGATCTATCCACCCCACCTTGCTAGGTTAGGCTAACTGCCAGACTGCTACAGGAATGGATGGTTCTGCACCTGTGGCAGGGAACAGGGACCAGGGCCCTGAGCAGCTCTCAGCCCTAGTGCAGCCCTATTCTGTGCTCAGGCCTACAGTGATGATTCCTTTTCATGGGCATTTTAAATCACTGCAAACCCACAAGCTGTAATGAAATGGCTTTGTGGTGCTGACTGCAGCAGTTTTCCTGCCTAATAGTTTATGAAGGCAACATCCCAGTGGCCCAGGAAAGGTGGGTGGGAGGAGGATTTACCCCTGGGGAGGGGACAAAGCAAGCTGTACCTTCTGAGCTGGTAATTATCCCAGTGGGACCCATCCCGTCTTTTCTTAATGGTACAGGAGCCCTGGCTCTGCCTATTAATTATGAAACAGATGTTCAGTGAGTTCAGAAGAGAGCAAAAGGCCTGGGAGTGGCCTGCTGTGGTGGGCAGCAGCTGCACTGGGCTGGCAAGGTGATGCATCAGGGACAGGCTGGAAACCCAAACCATAGCTTCTCTGAACCATAGCACAGCACAGAAATTTCTGAGGCTCTCCTGAGGTTCACAGCATCTCTGCCTGCCTGATAAAGGCTCAGCAGAGTGCCTCCACAGGCCCTGGTCACCCACCCCCTTCCCTCCTCACTACCAGTGACTGATGTCGCCACTTAGGGAGCTGCCCTCAGTCCATGCTGTGGGTAAAGCAGGGAGCTGAATGAGGCATGCCCTTTTTGCCTGGGCTGTCAGGAAGCTCAAGGGTCAATGTCATAGATGGAGTAAACCAGAATGCCACACCCTCACCACTGTGCTCTACATGAACGTGGCCCCTTCCCTCTGTTGTACACAGAGCCCCTCCCACCAAGGTTCTCCATGGGTTGAACTGGGAGGACACTTGGGTCCTTACATTACAGGAACTTCCTGCAGCTTGTGACCCTGTTGGCTACTGGCCCCCAAACTTTCTATTCACTTAGCTTCTGGGGCACTGTACCAACCTCTCTGACAGTTGTCTTTTCCCCTTCCCTGCCCCTAATTGTTCATGTTCCCCAGGAGCTCTTCCTTACATCTGCCTCCCTCTTAGCCTCACTTTCCACCCTGGACACCTGAACTCCAGCCCAGCCACTCTCCCAGGGCATCCCACGGGCACTTCAGTGTCTCCCATTCCTCAACCTGCTCTCCCAGGAGGGGCACCAGGTGCCCAGGACAGAGACCCCTTGCCTCTCCCTCATCCCCACGTGTATCAGTCACCAAGTCCAGCCAGCTCTGTCTTCTCAATACTCCTCAAATCTGAGTCCACTTCTTTCCCAACATCCACTGCTCTTGTTCAGGACTCTCACATTCATGCTCTCTTTTTAAATCCACCCTCCATACTTCCACCACAGTCCCTGGAGTGAGGTCTCACAAGTCTAACCAGGTCAAATCCCTTTCGGTGGCTCTGTCTTGCCAGTGGGTTTCAGCCCTGGGCAAGTTCACTCTCGATTCAGTGAGACCAAAAAATCACAGTGCAACATTCCTGGGGTAAAAGGGTTTATACCCAACTTTACTCCCACAGCGGCACATCATGTAAGCACAAGAATCCCATCCACTCAGAGCAAGTATGCATGCAGCAATCTGGTCTCTGCCTCTGGGCCTCCCTGCCCTCCCACAGCCTTCTCAGTCTCTGTCCTCGGTGCCGCCACCACTCCAGCCTCTGCTCTCCTGCAGATGTGCAGCCCAGAGGACTGGGCAGAGCACTTTATATAGAGTCAGTAACAATGCATTGCCATGCATGTGCAGTGAGCAAGTTGACCAGAGTGAGGTGAGAATCCTGGCCATAAGAACTTTCATTTTCTTTACACTCCCACTACCCTTAAGAGAGCGGCCATGCTCCCCTGCCTGAACCCCAGGCCTTGGACAACCTCCCTCCCAGCCTCACCTGCTGCCACTACCTCCACCAAACCTGACCCCTACCTCTGCTTCCACCATTGTCCATGGTCCCTCCTCATGGGATGCCCTTCCTGCACTCTGCCACAGTCTGCCCTAACTCCCATTCCCCACCCCACCCCAAGACTAGGCTATGTCCCTCTGTCCTGTGCTGCTCCCCAAGAGGGGACATGGAAATCACTGGGGGCAGTCCCCCCGATGAACTGTGAAGTCCTTAGGAAGAGGGGCCACGTCTTGGCCATCTTTGTGTCCCCAGTACTCAGCCCAGCACCCGACCCAGGGCAGACATTTCATGAGTGTTGGCTGAATTGATCTGCACCAGCACACACCCATTCATCACTCCTGCAGATTCTGAAATCACCCCTGGCTTAGTTCACATTGCTTTATTGCACAGGTGTGTTTAAAGTCACCCACTTCCTCCTGTGCAGGAAACACTTAAAGAAGAGCTTAAACAGCAAAGGGAGGAGTCCTTTGGCAGGATACCAGCAAATGGAGGGTGGTTGTTAGGCAAGACCCCTTGGAATGGCCCGTGCGCTCTCCCCACTGCCCCAAGGTTGCCCTACCTTTCTCAGGGTCCTTGAGGCTCAAGCGGACGATCTCCACCGCGTTCTCCACCTCCTCACTGCTGCAGACGTTGAGCTGAACAGTTCTTAATCGATCACTCTTCAAACTATCCAGCTCCTTGGCCCCATCACCCCCTTTGTCCTGGGGAGGAGAGACAAGCTGCTTCACCTGCCTTCTTCCCACCCTGCCTCCAGGAGGAGGATCAGGGCTAAGGCAGAGGGCTGGCCCCAAGTTGCTACCAAAGCCTTGGGCTTACAAAAGACTTAGTAACAGCTGCAGGTGGGGGGCTCTCTTGAGGCATCCCCCCAACCTGTTCTACCAGCAGGTGGTTCTATTCAACCCCTAAGCACTGATGACATATCTAAGTGCCATAAATACCTGCAAGGCCTCACTGGCAGAATTCTTTCTCTAAGCAAAGGTTGCAAATTCAACAGTGACTGGGGCTTGGCATATGAGTATCAGACAATGGGTAGGAGCCTGACAATGGGGAATGGAGTATATGCTTGGCCTCTCAACCCCTGCCAGCTGTTGCCCATGTGGGTATGTAAGCCCAGGGTTGCCAGGTGCTTAGATTTTTAAATTAGTAATTAGGATTTCCTAATCTTTTAAGTGTTCACCAACTTCATATATATATATAAAACCACTGTGTGGGCCAAAGCACATCCACAGGCCACAAGTAACCAATGAGCTGCCAGTTTGTCACCTCTGTTCTAAGCCAAGGGCCCCTCATGGCCAAACTGGTCAGAGGCCAGGGCCAGGCTCCAATTCCAGTTCAGTCACTAACCAGGCTCTGTGCACTCAGGTGAATCCCTTAACAGGTGCCCAATTTTTCCTGCTTGGAAATATACCAACATGCCTGTCCTGACCACCTCAGATTAATGGAATGAGGAAATCATTTTTTTAAAAAACATCTGTTAAACTATAAAGTGCTATACAAGTGTTATTAAACATGAGCAGAGAGTCACTCGCAAACATCTCTTGGGCCTCTATCATGTTCTGGCACTGTGCTGAGAAGTGGAGACACAAAAATAAGTAACTCAGCCTTTGTTCTCCTACAGTCACGTTTTAGGGTAGGGGGCAGATGAGTAAGCAAACAATACAGGGAGTATTTGCTACAGGAACCCAGAGGGAGGTGGAAGGCTGCACAGATGGGGGGTGGGGAGGGACGGCCTTCCAAAGGCAGTGACAGCTGAGGGCATGAACCAGAGGGGGTCCTGGGCAGGGGGCACTTCAGGCAGTGGTCAGAGGGTACCGCAGTAAGTCTCTGCAGGCAGTGCAGGGGCATGAGAACGTGAGCGCCATGAGGCTAGAGAGTGGGTGGGGGTCCACCTGGGGGTAGCGGTGAGAGGCTGGAGGATCTGAGTAAAAGCGGATGTCACTCACTGAGTGCTTGCTGTGCCTTATCTCATTAGCCCTCACATCCTGAGGCACATCATATCAGCATATCTCACCTATCATTCTACCACACACATTTTTTCCACCTACAGATGAGCTACAACCAATGTGGAAGTTAAGCACTGTCAGTCATAATTTAATTGGCAGTGACTTTCTTAGTGGTGCATGGAATAGTGACACATCTTCTAAGAGGACAGGAGTAGCTGCCAGAGGATGACATGGTGGAAAAAATGCCTACTTTCAGCCGAGGGCTGGACTGGGATACAACAGGGTCTGAAGCAAGGGCCGGAGTAGAAACACAGGGAAGTCAGCATATGTCAACAGCGGGGACTTCTCTGTGGTTTAGGCTGAGTCTCGTAAGGTGGACTGAACTGAGGACCCTAACCCCAGGACCGGAGGATCTGCATCATGCAATGTCAGAGGGACACAGGAGGGAATAGTGGAGAGGCCGTGTCAAATGGGCCACTTGAGATAACCACCCTGGAGACTTGGGGAAGCATGATGAGGGGGGAGTGGACTTGTCCCACGCGGCCCAGAAAACAGAACCAGAGCCAAGAAGTCAAATTCCACTTAGAATGAGGATCACAGTCCAAGGCTGGTGTGGACTGCCCAGAGGTGTTCAGACAGGTAGGGGTGGGGTGGGGAACACAGTGCCAGAGAAACCCTAGGCATCAGACAGGGGGTAAGGCTGATACCCCTCTAAAATGTCATCTCTTCAGCCCCCAAACTGTCCTCCTCACAGGGAGTCTCCCCTGGGTCCTGGAGAAGCAGTGGCATGGCTGAGTCTGCCCAGCCGGGACCAGGAATGCCAGCTACACCCAGTCACCTCTGTACAGAGCGGCCAGACATGAGGCTTGCTTAGTCCAAGGCAACCTTCCCAAAAAACATAGCAGATGTTCCATGTACAGGGGAGCAGACAGGCCTGGAGTTTCTGCTGCTGTTCCCACAGAAAAGAACTCCCTAGACACCATCTTAAAGTCCAGACGCGGAAGGGGCTGGTGCGCATAGGTACCTCCGTTTTCACAGACCCCACACACAGGCACCAGGAAAACACATATCTTGTTTTAATGCAGTCTTTGTATTGTGGCTCCTTAAATGCCCCTGGGAGCAGAGCCCAATGGTCTACATCTCCAAGGGGGTGCAGAGGTCTACTTCCAATAGGACAGGTTCCAGCTAAGATGCAGGAGAGGAACCTGAGAGTCCTTTCCTCTTCCTGGACTTTGTTAACACTGCTGCCATCATTCAGCAGCTCTTGGACCTCACACCAGACCTCTCCTTGTGCCCCTAGGTGGCATCAAGCTGATGGCCCTGCAGTCCCTGGGGGAAGCCCCTCACCCCAGGTCGGGTGCCCCCATGGACTTAGTTTGACAATGTGGCAGCTAAGAGCCTTTTCTCAGACAGGTTAATCTCATGGCCCACAGCCTCAGGCTCAGCATTCAGGCTGTACCTTGCCTGACACCTCTCCAGGAGTCCCCATCAGCCCTGAGCAGCCTCCACACCCTGCTCCTGACAGCCACATCAATGGGACAGAGTCTGTCACATTGCCTCCAGATGTTCAAAGGAAACCTTTCCCAACCACCTCAGTCTGCAGACTGCAGACTAGAGCAGCTGCCCCTGTCCTCAAGCCAAACCACTCTGCCTGGGCCACACTGCCTGCCTGCAGGGTTTCTGTCTTTGTCCATGTCTATCTCACTGCTCAGAAACAAGCTTTCAGTTGGTGCCTGTGTAACTGCCTTACCGATAAGCCCATTTCTTTCACAATCCCTTTAAAATTCATGTATGAGCTATTTTTCCCACCCCTGGGTGAAAGTTCAGGCAAGTCTTACAGCATTTCCACATATTCTCAGGTAATAGACAGCCTATTGATTTTGGAATAAAGGGTCCACTTCTACCTGCTAATCAGATAATTCCAGATCTGCCCAGTCCAGTCTGAAAACTCAAATTCTGCAACTTATATCCAACTTAAAGCCAGCCCTAACCCAGGCCTGACAGAGTGTGGGAAGCAGGGTGGGACACCAGGTAGCAGGGGTGGAGATTGTCTTTCTCCCAACTTTCTAGCTCCTCCTCCTCTCCTATTCCTTGATCTCCGACTCTTCCAGGGTTGGACCCAGGAACAGGCAAGTTAGGGGGCAAGCCTGGTCTTTGGAGGCTGGTGCTGTAGTTGTCTGCTGGTGGTGACTGGGGATGGCAGACAATGAGAGCGGGGCCTCCCTTCTTGGGGTATGCTTCTGGATTCTGCAGGGACCCCCTGCTGGAGACCTCCCATGCCATTCCTGCCTCACCTGGGCATCTTCTCCCTCTGCCCGGGCTTCAGTGAGGCACCCTCTGGCCAGCAGTCTCACTGGGTGGGGCCCTCACCATGACTCCAGTTATCCCCATCATCCGCATGAGGACCAGGCCCCAGTGTCCTGCCTGGGTGGAAGGGCAGCCCTTTGCCCAGCTCTCTTTGCCCTGCTTCCAGATGAGTCACTCCAGCCTCATTCTTGGGGCTTTAGACTGCTTCTGGTAAACAACTAACCTGCCATCCTGTGACCCCAGTTGCTAGGGCACAAATGGTAAGCTCTCAAAGTAGTTCTCTTGAAGCCCACCTCACTTACTTGAGACCTGAGGGAAAATGTCACAGCACACCAACAACCCTGTCTAGCCCCTCAGCCTCTTCCACCCCAATTTATTACAGTATTGACATAGGTGATGGACAATTCCTGGCAGAAAGCTTTTATAGTCTCCTGGCATTTATCATTAGGTGGTCTGCTCCTCAAGGCAGGATACGAGGATACTCAGCACACATTCTATGTGAGCATGCGTCACATGGCCTGGAAACACTGTGACAAGGGGGGCAAGGCTGGGGCACCATGACCCTTCCAGGAGGAGCTAGCGAAGGAGATGAGAAAGACCAAGGGAGCGGGTGGCCATGAGGTCAAGAAACAAAGGGTTACAAGCAAGAGTGGTGTGCTTGGCCAAAGCTGAGAATGGGCTGAGTGTGACACGGTCTGAGAAGTGGCCAATGGATCTGGAGAAATGGGGGCTGTTGGCATCCCTGATAACAGCTGTGTCAGTGGCATTCAGGGGCCCCACCTGGCCAGACCCTGCCTTCCTTCCCAGCTTGTCTCCTCCAGGTGAGCACAGCTTTCAGCTACCTGAAACTACTGGCAGTGCCTGGATGTGCCACCTCCGCCCATCACGGATCGTCCTTCCTGATGGCGATGAGAAGCCACCCTGGCCTATCAGGCCTTCCCTGTGTTCCCAGAGAGGCAATCTGTTCCTTCTCTGACACATCTTCCCCTCATTCTCACCTCACACGCTCCTCTCACTCACTGCAGCCACACAGGCCTCCTGCTGGTTCGCTAACCCACCAGGCACACACCCTCCTTGGGGCTTGGGCTTGGCTGTCCCTCACCCCCCAGCTATGTGCAAGCTTGCTTCCTCACCTGTCAATGACAGCTTCTCAGTGAGCTCTTTCTTCCCACTTTAAAACTGAGCACCCCACCACCACGTACACCCTTCTTCTTTTCCTGCTTTATATTTCTCCATCACTTGTCTCACCCCTCACCTTGTCTCTCTCCCCACCCCTAATGTAAGCACCACAAGGGCAAGAACTTTTCACTGAATTGGTATATGCTTTCTCTCCAACAGACAGTACTGTCAGCTCATAGTAGGTGCTCAAGAAATATTTGTTGAATAAATGAACAAATAATCAGAATGGTAGGGGCATAAAGCCCAATCCAGGTGGGTTGGAAAGAAGATGGGAAGTAGATAAGTAAAAACATTTAGTACAAACAACCCTCTGGAGGTTAAGGGAAGCAGAGAAGCGGGGTAGTGATGCACATGGGACATGGGTTGTGCCAGGGAGTGTGTGTGTGTGTGCGTGCACGGACCAAAAGACCTGACAGGGTGTGAGGATCTGATGCAGGAGGGAGGAGGCAGGTCCCTGAGCTGGCCTAGGGCTCTGAGACCTGAAGCACAGATGAGGTCTAACTAAATAAGAGCAGGCAGAGTGTTTGGCTACAGATGCAGCCAAAATCCATCATGAGCCTTAACATCTCAGACCTAGCCTGGAAGACTAAGCTCCCATTTCAATGCCCACAGAACTTTACCCATAGTCTCCAGTGGCTTTGGCTGTTTTTATTTGCATAACAAATTCAGACCCCTAGTGGCTTCTGCCCCCTCAGCTTTTGATGAGAAAAGACAGACCATGACACTAACACAGACAAGAGGTGGACACCAAGAGACATAACCTGGCAGTGAGCCCGTCTGCTATTTTCTTCAAAATACCAGCTGCTAAATAGTAGACTGACCATCATGGGAGTGAAAGGACTGCAGATGACCCAGTCTGACCTTTAAGTGAGAGCAGTGCCCAGTCCCTGGGCTGGTGGCTGACCTGGACTAGAGCCAAGGCCCAGACTCCCCCACAAAGGTTCCTCTGCTCCTGCCCTGTGCCCCCTGTGTCACTGGACAAGCCAGTACAATGGCACAGGCATGAAAATTTGGACAAGGAACTTTAAAGGCACATAATGTTTTAGAGTACCACAGCTCCTGCTGGGACTTGTAAAGCAGTGTCCACATTACACAGAGAAGCCACTCTGGCACACCATACCCTTCGTCCCCCAAGTCCCCCCTGACAGGTTTTCTCATGCACCATCAGAGGGAGTGAGCATTGGGATAGCCTTTTGGGGAGCAATTCGGCAGACCTGAATAAAATCTAAAATCTGCAGACTTTCCACACAACTCTTTCACAGCTACAAACTGTTCCTAAGAATCACTAATGAATGCAAAGATACTAACAAGGCTATTCACTGTGGTTTTGTTTATCATTGCAGGGGTCACAAATAATGTGCATACGTGCACTTTAGTTATTTTGGGATAAGAGACTGAAAAGACTCCACTCTTTTACATCATCCACTTCCACATTATTTGAATGTATTATCAATATGTATTACTTTTATAATTCAAAAGAACTAAAAATAAAAAGGCAAACCCTTCACTCAACTGGAAATATATTCAGACCATGGCAAAGTATTATTTGTACTTGTTTACACTGTTGAAACTTTTACACTGAAAAGATAATGTTTTTATAGATATTAAACCTAGTATAAAAGAACTCCTTTCCTGGGTTCCTACTGCCTTCAAAATAAAGAAAAATATATCATCTACTGAGCAGACACAGCCAATTGTCGCAAATGCCCATCCTTCCCTTCTTTAGCAGTAGAACCCCTAACTTTAAGCAGAGTACATACTGTCTCAGAATACACAACTACATTTCCCAGCCTTCCAAGCTGCTGGGAAGGCCATGGGTTTAACTTCTGGCCAATGGAGTGAGAGCACAGGTGCTATATGTGCAACTTCTGAGTCATGCCTTTAAAGAAAAGGGCTGTGCACTCATAATAAAAGAAATACAAATTAATGTACACTGAGATACATTTCTGCTCTATCAGACTGGCAACAATCCAAAGCTTGAAGTACACTCTGTTAGCAAAATTGTGTGGAAACAGGTACTATCACACATTACTAGTAGCAGTATAAAATTACACAACCGTTATGATATGCAATTTGGGAATATCTTAAAAAATGACAACATATTATATTAACCCTTTGACATAAAGTAATCTCACTCCTAGGAATTTACCCTAAAGATAAACCCCCAATAACATAAGAACACATATGCACAAGGCTATTCATTGTGGCATTGCATGTAATGGCAAAATATTGAGAAACATAGAGGAGACTGGTGGACTAAGCTGCAGCCCACCTGCACAATGGAGTACTGTGTGGTGCTGTTAAAACAAGCGAAGATCTCTGTGAACTCATAAGTAGTGATTACAAAAAAGGGTACATGTAGTATGCAAATATTTGTGTAGGAAAGGGGAAATGAAAGAATGGAGTAGAAAGATAGGAGGTAGGAGAGTAACACTACTTTGAGTGTATTTTTGCGTATAATTTTTACTTTAAAATCTTGTTAATGTTTTGCATATTCCAAGACTAAATTAATCAACAGGAGTAAAGGGAACAAAATACAAATAAATAACATAATGATAAAGAAAATAATTAATCCAAGTAACTTATAAACACAATAGTTTGTGTACCTTCAGTCAATATACAAAAAACACTTTAAAGAAGTCTTAAGCTCTACTGTGGTGACCACACTAGACACACTTTCAGGACAATCTATGATAGCATTACTAATTCTCCATTATTCATTCTCCAAATGTCACCTCCTCTCTCATGTCAGAATCAATCCCTTCTTTCTATGCATGCTCATTAAACATTCTTTGCACAACCCTGGGAATCTTCTTCTCTCTAATTCCTCCAGCTGTGTCTATGCACAGACATCCCCTCACCACTGGACAGTGAGCTCCTTGAGGGCTGTTTTAAGCAACACAGGAGCCAGTTGTTAGGAAACGAATTCAAACAACTACAAACCCTAACAGGTCCTGGGCAGTCCTAGCATGAAATACTCAGGTTGAAATAGGATTCTGAGAAGATGGTGCAATAGGGAGCATCAGGGATCTGTCTCCCCACCTAGACAACAACTGCACTGGCCAAATCTGCCTAATGTAAATATTTGAAACCCTGGAATCTGCCCAAGGCTTGCAACTTCCAGGGGAAGACCTAAATGGTAAATTTGGGTCAATTTCACCTACTCCACATAGTGCTATTAAGTTGTAGCCAAAGCAATTGGCAAGAAAAAGAAATGAAATACATCCAAATTAGAAAGGAAGAAGAATCTGTTTGTAGATGATATGATCTTACATGTAGAAAACCCTAAAGATTCCACACAAAAAAACCTGTTAGAACTAATAAGTGAATTTAGCCAAGTAGCAGGATACAAAATCAACACACAAAAGTTAGTTGCATTTCTGCTGTGAACAATGTGAAAAGGAAATTACAAAAACAATTCCATTTACAATAGCATCACAAAGAATAAAATACTTGGGCATGAATTTAACCAATAAGGTGAAGACTTGTACGATGAAAACTACAAAACATTGCTGAGAGAAATTAAAGATGATAAACATGAATGGAAACACATCCCATATTCATGGATTGAAAGACTGAATGTTGTTAAAATGTGGATACTACCCAAAGTGATCTGTAGATTTAATCCAGTGCTTGTCAAAATCTCAATGATTGTTTCTGCAGATATAGAAATACCCATCCTAAAATTCATATGGAATCTCAAGGGACCCCATATAGCCAAAACAATCTTGAAAAAAAAACTAAACAAAACTGGAGGACCCTCACTTACTGCTTTTTAAAACTTGCTACAAAGCTATAGTAATCAAAACAGTCTGGTACTGGCATACAGACACACAAATGGACTAATGGACTAAAATAGAGAGCCCAGAAATAAGCCTTTGCATATATGGTCAAATGATTTTTGATAACAGTACAAGACCATTCAATGGGGAAAGAACAGTCTTGAACACATGGTACTGGGGAAACTAGATATCCACATGCAAAAAAATGAAGTTGGACCCTTACCTAATACCATATACAAAAATTAATTCAAAATAGATAAAGGACCTAAATGTTAAGACCTAAAACAATAAAACTCTTAGGAGAAAACATAGGACCAAAGCACCAGTGCACTGGATTTGGCAATGATTTCTTAGATATGACACCAAAGGCAAAGGGAACAAAGGGAAAAAAATGGGCAAATTGGACTTTATAAATTTTAAATATCAAAAGACACTATCCACATAGTAAAAAGGCAGCCCACAGAATTGCAAATAACATATCTGATAAAGGATTAATAACCAGAATATATAGAAAACTCCTAAAATTTAAAAAAAACAAAAGAACAATTTGATTCAAAAATAGGCAAAGAACTTGAAGAGATATTTCTCCCAAGAAGACATATGAATGACCAATAGGCACAGGAAAAGATGCTCAGCATCACTAATCATTAGGGAAATGTAAATCAAAACTACAATGAGATACCACCTCCTATCCATTAGGATGGCTACTATTAAAAAAAAAAACAGAAAATAAACATTGGTAAGGATATGGAGAAACTGGAACCTTTTGTACTGTTGGTGGGAATGTAAAATGGAATAGACACTGTGCAAAACAGTATGACAGTTCTCAAACAATTAAAAATAAAATTACCATATGATCAACAATTCTACTTCTGAGTATATAACCAGATGAACTGAAACTAGGGTCTCAAGAGATACTTGTATACCCATATTTACAGCAGCATTATTCACAAGAGTTAAAACCTGGAAGCAACCCAAGTGCCAATCAACAGATAAGTGGATAAGCAAAAAGTGGCATATATGTACAACAAAATATTATTCAGGAATAATAAAGGAAGGAAATTGTGCAAAATGCTATAACATGGATGAAACTTGAGGACATTATGCCAAGTGAAATAAGCCAGTCACAAAAAGACAAATACTGTATGACTCCACTTGTATGAGGTACTTCGAGTAGTCAAATTCATAAAGACAGAAACTGTAATGGTGGTTGCCAGGGGCTGAAGGAGGAACAGGCAGTTATGTTTACTGGTTATAGAGTCTCAGTTTTACAAGATTTAAGTGTTTTGGAGGTGGATGTGAGTGATGGTTGCACAACAATGTGAAAGTATTTGCTACCACTGACCTGCACACCTAAAAGTGGTTAAGATGGTAAATTTATGTTATGTGTATTTTACTGCAATTTAAAAAACCCTACAAACAATAACCAGGTGTTAGGAACCAACATGACCCATCTCTCACCTTCATCAGGCAGCCAGCAAACACAAGGAAGCCGTCTGAATGCAGATGCTTGGCCAAGGAGAACCCAAATCCAGAGTCACAGCCTGTGACCAGGACAGCTCTGCTGCCAACCTGTTTTAGAAGGTCAGACATTAGGAACCTAGGATCCTACGAGAGCATAGTGACCATCCTCCGCTGGTAACAGTTAGTTCTTCCTAAGTGGGCCAGTCTCTTACTGTCTGGACAAGCACCGGGTATAGTGGAAAACGCCTGGGCTCACTGTCAGGAGACCAAGTTCTATGCCAGATTCTGCCACCAGCTAACAGTGTTGCTTGGAGAAGTTACTTGCCCTCTGTGGACCTCAGTTTCCTCATCTACAATACGCATTATCATCATCACTGTCATCTTCATCATTACTTACCATGTGCAAGGCACTATACTTGTATTATTTCTCACAATACCTCCATATTGTATGATGATTATACCATGTTGCAAGTGAGGAAACAGACACTTTTTAAATGCCAGGTGTAGTTAGTGATAGAGCCAAAACTGAAACCAGGACTGAGAGACTCCAGAGTGTAAACTCTTCACACCTAACTTCATTTGATGGAGGAAGGGTTGCAGTTAAAAAAGTGAGAAAGTGAGTCCAAGTATCCTGGAGTGCTACCACCCTACTGTGAGGGTGGCTCAGGGGCAGGGTCCCAGAGGGAAGGGATCTGAACACCTGGCTGGTTCCCAGGTACCTGGGCTGCCACTCACCGGGTTCACCACATTGGCATAAGTGCGACGGCCCACAGGGACAACGTAGGTGGAACAAAACAGCAGTGTGGGTCTGCAAGAGAAAAGGAAGCCATGAGCAGAGGCTGTGGTCTCACCTAGACCTTGTTTCTGCAGAAGCATCTCAGAGGACCTTCAGCCACCCCACTGCTCTCCACCCCAAGACTCTGAGGACAACCTGCTGGTAGTATTAAGCAAGAGGGCCTCTTTCCTCCAGGGTTGCTAGGCTGGGAGAAAGTGAGCCAGCAGGTGCAGTGGCTGTAGGAAGAGCCTTCCAGCAATACAGCTTTGTTCATGAAGCCGTCTGCAAATTCATTTTCTTAGCCCTTAGGTTTTATGCTGCTTTCTCTGTTTTTTTTAATTAAACTTTTATTTTGAAATCATTGTAGATTCACATGCAGTTAGGAAATAATACAGAGAAATGTCCAGTAACCTTTTACCCAATTTCCCCTAGTGGTAACATCTTGCAAAACTGTTAACACAGTATCAAAACCAGGACATTGATATTGATGCACTAAAAATACAGAACACTCCACCACCACAAGGATCCCTCCTCTTACCCGTTTATAACCACACCCACTCCCCCATCTTATTTAACCACTAATCTGTTTCCGCTCTATGATTTTGTCATTTCAAGAATGTAATATAAATGGAATCATACAGTATGTGGCCTTTGGGACTGCTTTTTTCATTTAACATAATTCTTTGGAGATTCATCCACACTATTGTATGTATCAATAATTTGTTCCTTTTTATTGCCAAATTGTTCTGTGGCATGGGTGTGCCAGTATGTTTAACCATTCCCCTGTTGAAGAACATCTGGGTTGTTTCCAGTTTGGGGCTATTACCAATAAAGCTGCTATGAACTTTCCTGTACAGGCTTTTGTGAGGACCTGTTTTTCTCTTGGATAAATGATCAGGAGACCAATTGCTGGGGCACCTGGTAGTTGCACGTTTAGTTTTTGAAGAAACCATCACTGTTTTCCAGAGTGGCTGTAGCATTCTACTTTCCCAGCAGCACCATGTGAGTAGTCCAGTTTCTCAGTATCATTGTCAGCATTTGCTGGTATCACTGTTTTTATTTTAGCCATGCTGGTAACTGCGTTAAATGTAATCTCATTATGGTTTTAATTTGCATTTGGTTAATAGCTAATGATGTTTAACATCTTTTCTTGTATTTATTTGCCATCTGTATATACTATTTGGTATAATATCTCTTCATTTTGTTGTCCATATTCTAACTAGGTATTTTGTTCTTTTACCACCAAGTTTTGGGAGTTCTTTACATGTTCCAGGTGCAGTCCTTCCTTGCACATGTGGTGTGCAAGTATTTTCTGTGAGTCTGTAAATTGTCTTTTCATCCTCTTAACAGGGTCTTCAACAGAGAAACCTTTCATTTTGATGAAGTCTGATTTATTATTTTTTCCTTTTCTGAATAGTACTTTTGGTGTCAATTTTCATAACTCTGGCTATCCCCCAAACCCAGATTTTTTTCTATCTCTCCCCAAAAGTTTTAGTTTTATGTTTTACATTTTTAAATCCATGATCCATTTTGAGTTAACTTTTACATAAGATTTTAGACGTAGGTCAAGATTTATTTTTCTGCCTATGAATGTCCAATTGCTGTAGCACCATTTTTTTAGAAATGTTATCTCTTCTGCATTGATTTGCTTTTCCACCTTTGTCAAATACCAACTGGGCATATTTTGTTGGCCTATTTTCTGGATTCTCTACTCTGTTTCATTGAACTATGTGCTCTAACTTGTTTTTCTTTTTCAAAATTGTTTTTGTTATTCTATTTCCTTTGCCTTTACATATACATTTTAGAATAATTTTGTCTTATCTATAAAAATCTGACTGGCATTTTGATAGAAATTATGCTAAACATATATCAATTTGGGAAAAATTGACATCTTTATATTTTTTAGTCTTTCAACCTCTGAACACAGTATAGGGTTTAGATCTCCATTTATTTAGATCTTTGATTTCTTTCATCAGCATTGTGTAATTTTCAGCATACAAATCCAGTATGTTTTCATGTATTTATACCTAAATATCTCATTTTTTTGAGCAAATGTAAATGAAATTGTTGAATTTTGATATATTTAAGTTCATTGCTAGGATACAGAAATAGATGGGCTTTGTGTGTTATCTTGTATCCTGTGTCCTTGCTGAACTCTCTTAGTGGTTTGGGGATCTTTTATGGACTCTCGGGGGTTTTCTATATGGTCAATAATGTAATCTGCAAAAAGGGACAATTCTACTTCTTTTTCAATTGTACAACTTCTGTTTCCCTTTCTTGCCTCATTGCAATTGCTAATTGCACTATGTTGAATTAGTGGTGAGAGTGAACATCCTTGTCTTGTTCCCCATCTGAGAGGGAAGGCATTTGTCTTTTGCCATTAAGTATGCTACTAGCTGTAGGTATTTTGTAGATGATCCTTATCAAGTCTAAAAGCTCCCTTCTATGCCTATTTTTCTAAGAGTTCTTATCCTAAATGGGTGTTAAATTTTGCTTTTTCTGCATTGGCAGATAGGTTCACATGACTTTTCTTCTTTGGCCTCAAATTTGGTAGATTAGATTGATTGATTTTCAAATAATGAAAATGGCCCCTACTCAGCTTTCTCTGACACTATCCCTAGTGGGGGTACTGGGATACTTCACTACAGCCTGGGAATAGTAGAAATCTAGGGTTTTTGCTGGTGTGGGTAAGGCTGAGGCCAGTATTTTCTGTGGTGTTTGGCTGGAGTCAAGCAATTATTGCCGAGAGCTTTCTGTCTTAATAGGCTGGTGCTTTTGGCTAGAGAGAACAGGCTTTTGTTGGGGCTCTTTGTGACTTTGCATAACTGAAACAAACCCAATTTTTCATGGCTTATGTTTTTTATATATTGCTGAGTTCTATTTGCTAATATTTAAAGAATTTTTGCATCTATATTCATAAGGGAGATGGTCTGTAATTCTCTTTGTACTGTCTTAGTCTGGTTTTGAAATTAGGGTAACACTAGCTTCATAAAATAAATTGGGAAGTGTTACTGCTGGGTAGGGATGGAGTTCTGCTCTCCACTAGGTCTCCACCAGTATCTCTCCAGCTAGGAGGGGTTAAATTGCCTCACTGCTGCTCCCATATGTATAGGAGTGTGTGGTCTCATTACTGCTGAGAGGTGGAGAAAGCATAGGTCTCCTCTGACACTCCCAACCCCCACCCCAGGCAGACAGGGTGCCTTATCACTGCTGGGTGAGACTACTCAGCTTTCTCTGACACTATCCCTGGTGGGGGTACTGGGATGCTTCACTACAGCCTGGGAATAGTGGAAATCTAGGCTTTTTGCTGGTGTGGGTAAGGCTGAGGCTAGTATTTTCTGTGGTGTTTGGCTGGAGTCAAGCAATTATCACCCAGAGCTTTCTGTCTTAATAGGCTGGTGCTTTGGCTAGAGGGAGCAGTCTTTTGTTGGGGCTCTCTGTGCCTGAGTTCATGCACTCTTTAGCTCCAGTCTGGGATATAAGAAGTGAAGAGAAAACCTTGAGAAATTACCACTGTGTGATTTCTTGGATCCTAAGGTTCCCAGATGATCTGCCTCCTCCTCTCCATCTTTTAGAGATTTTTATGTTTGCTTTATATAATATCCAGGGGTTTTAATCATGCTTAGCAGGAGGAATAGAGAACAGTACACCTACTGCATCTTTCCACAAGTAGAAGTCCTGTTGGTTTTTAAATGAATATTAAGCCAGAAACAGTAAGTGGAGGAGATAGGGGCAAGTGAGCAGCAGGTAACGGGAAAGGAGGTGGGGGACAGACTTACTCTTTCCTGTGTACTATTATGTACCATTTGAATGTTGTACCAAGTGACTAAATTATACTACCTATTCAAAATAAAGTTTTTTAAAAAATATAGAAAAGTGATATCCAACATTCTTAAAGAATGTTGGGTTCACTAGACAGAAATGAAGGTCCACTAGGAAAACCTGCTAAGGTACCTGTCCTTTTCAACTGTCACAAGAGTGACAGTTGGATTTGAAGTCCTTGCGCATGGATGTCTCAAATGAGCAGAATGATATGGTTCTCACACCCAAGGCTAGTTAAAGACTTCATCCAAAGAAAAATCAGTTTCCCACAACCGAAAGGATTGCTCTGCTAAATCAAGAGAACCCTGCTGGAAACAGATTGTATGTGATTGTTGTCTTGGCTGAAGGTTTTAGCCCTGGGCAAGTTCACTATGGATTCAGTGAGACCGAGAAATGACAATGCAACATTCTTGGGGTAAAAGGGTTTATACCGGGCTTTATTCTTATGGCAGTAGGTTGAGCACTAGAATATCACGTGTGCATCCAGAAGTCTGCAGTTCCCTAATCCACCTCCATCTCTGCCTCCCTCTCTGCACTGGGTGGAGCTCTTCATATAGTGATTCAGTCAGTTATAGCTCATTGCCTACAGGTGTGGAAGCAGTAGTCTACCAGTAGGCCAATTACATCAAGTAGTTCGGGGTCAGGTGAAGATCCTGGCCATAGGAACTTCCATTTTCCCCACATCCATTTTTCTCATCTGCTTCCATAAAAAATTTTTATCCAGGAAGTAACAATATGCCCACCTCTTTCCACCCTACTGCTTACCCAGTGACCATGTGACCCACCCCTGGCCAATAAGGTGCAAGCAGAGTCTGCAGAGGTTGCCTGGTGAGTGTTGCTCTCCTGATGCAGGTGCAGCTCCTTCCTTCCTCCATTGCTTTGCTTCTTCCTGCCTGGACTGAGGCTGGAAGTGGAGGAACACCATGGCACTCTAACATAAGAGCCGCCATCAGGGTGACAGAGCAGACACAAGGAGGCTGAGTCCCCTGATGCCAGATAACACAAGAAACGTCACACAAACCCAAACTAAGAGACGTTCTTCCAAAGTCTCAAGGTCATGAATGACAGAGACTGAGGGACCATCCCTGATAGGAAGAGACCAAGGAGACATGACAAATAAATGTACTCTAGGACCCTGGTTTATATCCTGGACCAGGAAAAGGTCCGTTAGTGAGCCACTTGCTACAGTTTGAATCATGTCTACAGATTAATTAATAGTAGTATATGAGCAGTAATCTCCTGGTTTCCAAGCTTCCACTACAGTGTTGTAAGCTGTTAACATCTGGGAAGTTAGATGAAGGCTATACAGGAACCCTTTGTACTATCTTTGTAACTTTTGTGTAAGTGTAGTTATTTCAAAATTAAAAATAAAAACAAATAAAACAGTGATGAAAGGTATTCTTCTGTGCCCTGGGAAGGTTTTCTGAAGACACTTTTGCTGGCAGGTGGTAGGTAATGAGAGACATCTTTGAGAATCATTAATACCACCTGCATCATTGATGTGCTCTGCTTTGACTAGAAAGTGTCATCCTCCACCTGTCAGTCTCTTACCTTGTTTCATGTTCTCTATCACAGAAGTGCAGGGTTCTTCCCAGGAGCTGTGACAGGGGTCTGGAGAGGTGGGCAGTCAGCATGGTGGTCACACGCAGTAAAATGGTCAGCCTCTGCCTGGTAGGTTCTGAAACACAGAACACCCACACCATTGCCTTATTGCTTGCAGGGGTACAGGTAGGGGTGGCCATTCTTCTCCCAGGTTGTGAAAGTCCAAATGGGCTCAGTGTGTTTGAACCAGGTCCAGGCATGGTACCAGGCAGTCCCCTTCTGCCCCTGTCATGCTGCAGCCACATACAGGCAGAGTCAGGAGGCTGGGACATCTGGAAACCAGGGTTCATTCTGATTCTGGCTGTGCCACCAACTCACTGGGCAACGCTGGAAAAGTTATCACCCATTTGTAACATGAAGAGGTTGGACCAGACCAGTGACCCAAACCCAAGCTGAGCAGCAACCAACAGGGGACACAGGGACCTACTCCAGAGCACAAGCTGTGTGCTCACCCCAGCACTTCAGGCTCCTCAAGGAAGAAAGGCGGCCTGTGGCCAGGGCTGTTTCCTGGCCATGGCAAGCACTTGGCAAGCAATAGCAAAACGGAGCCCAAACTGGCCCTTCATGGAAGGACAGGCCCATGTTTGGCTCAGATTCCTTACCCAGGTGCCCCCTGCCAACCCAGCTGGTGCTGACCAGCTGGCTGAGTACACACATCTCCACCTCCTCCAGCCAGGACTGGAGCCTGAGGTCATCACCTCTGCGTAATTTCAAATCCAACTGTCTACAATTAAAGCCCATTCTTCCCTTCTGCTCAATGTGTATGGCAGAGAAATCGTCAATGTTATGTTCAAATGAAGGGCTGCTTTCAATTTTTTTCCTTAGAGTCAGCAATACTGAAAGTGCTGCAGTCAAAATAGTTTCAAGTGCATAAAAACTCAGCCCCTCAAATAATGCACTGCTCACAATGTAGGATCTTACATAACAAATGTAGAATTTTGAATCTATTTTTCTTTTTTAAGTTTCTTAAACATGTTACTTCCACTCCAAGCACTAATGGCAGTGAGATTCCCATGACCTTTTCAGGGTTGTTTGCCATACTGATGCCTTGTGATGGACTTTATTCTCTGTAAATATTAAGTTCTCAAACTTGAAAAGCCACTCACTTGCCTTTTGGTTTGGAACCAAAGTGGCTGGGGGAGATGGGTGCTGCAAGGAGAAAGGCAGAGCACCTGCAGGGGGAGGGGGGAGTCTCAGCTTTGAACTCAGTCAGCTGCCCAGGGTGACTTGGAACAAGGGGATTAACTCCCAGAGACCAAGTTTATAAGATACTGTTGAAAAATCAAGATGCTCACACATCGATCTGTAATCTGGGAGAAAGTTTTCTAATACTGGGAACACATGCGTTTGCTCTCAAGGGCACACCTTCCGATTTTCAGTGCATAACCCATGAAAAACACCCCCTCTCCAAAAAACCAGTGTGTGTGTCCTTGTCCTGATGCCAGGCTCCCTTGTTGCATTCTGACAGAACTAACTTGCAAAGAACACAGCAGGTTGTATTCCTGTGGGTCGGGATCAAGGTCTCTACAAGGGACAGACATTACCAATTCTGACATCCTCGGAAGAGGCAGGGCATCAACAGGAAATAGGAACATAGGTGGCAGGCCTTAGGCACAAAAACAAACTTTGAGGTTTCTGGACATGAAGTCTGGATGGAACTTGGCACAACCAAGTGGGAAGGGAAGGCCCTGTCCTACTGAGGAGGGCAAGCTAGGCAGGGAATCACCCTATAGGCACCCTACCCACTCTGGGGAGCTTTAAGACCAGTGAGCCTCTGTGTGAGATTCCAAGGTCTGACAACTGGCAGCCTCCTTCCAACATGGTCCACTCGGCTGTTGTATTCAGCCAGCCTGGTATTATGAAAGACAATGTAACTAGGAAGCTAAGTTATGCTTGAATGCAATACAGTTTCTACTTACTATCTGATGTCTGTCCACAATCACCTTTGTTTACTGCCTGGACACTGTAGGCAGTTGAGATCCCTAACCAGATAGATTATGATCTCCTTTGGCTAGTACAGGGGCTTCCTTGAAGACACAAAAGGGAAACCTGACAAGGTTTAAGGCCTCATTCAAAAAGAAGGGCTCAGAGAGAGACCTGTTCCGGAACAAAGGGCTAAAGCATTATACAGGACAAATGGTCTTACCACCATTTTATCAAAAAATGCAAAGGTGACTCTCATACAGCTGTGTTACTACAGAACTTCAATAAAAGCCATGGATTTAACTGTATAGCCCAGTTCAGTGGAGGAAACCTAATGCGGGCACTTTGATAAGTCTGAGAGATGCTCTAGTCACCAGATCAGACTTGGATGATGGTCAGTTCTCAGACAGAACATTCGGCTGAGTTCATCTCTTGGATGTCTGTCCTGATCACCTGACCCCTGCCTCCCGGACCTGCCTCTACCCACGGGATTAGGCCTCTGCCATGGTAGCTGGGCAGTGAGACCTGCGCTCAGGCCATGGAGGACTGGGTCAGGCAGACACCTAACCCAAGATGTACCCATCAGTCATTCTGTCCCCTGGCCCTGTGACAGAATGCAAATCTGTCTCTACGGGGCAAGGACATGTGATGTGGCTGCTGTAGTGGGGAGGGGACAGCTCTGTTACACTGGGCCTAAAGCCAGAGAGAGATGGAGAAGCCAATCTGCAGAGAGTTGGATACACATGCAGAAGGAAGCAGAGGTCCCAATGACCTCTCTGAGGTGGAGAGAATCAACAGAGCCTCCTCAGGGCATATCTGTTTTTGAAACCCAGATGCCTTCCTGCCCTCCAGCTCTGAAATGCAGTGTCTTTATTCTCCATGTTGACTTACATGGGCTTAAAATTTCTGTTACTTGCAGCCAAAATAATATTAGCTAAAACAAACCAAAAGCAAGTTCTTTCTGCACAATTATTATTGCTTCCTCTATTCTGGGAAATCTGCACTATAGATCTTGTAATGACAACAGGAACACATGCCTCCCCCTCTCCATTTCTCATTTGCCCTTCCCCAAGAGACAGTGTTGCCAGAGCTGTCAAAATTGCCATAATTACAAGTGCCAGGTTAAGCAGGCACTCCATTCCTAGAACAGGGCTTACCTACCAAATTCAGATCAGACCACTAAACAATGGAGTCTTAGGGCTCCACTCTTGGTCACTTTTCACCACCACAGTGAGCTCTCCCACCCCTAAATATGATTTACATGCTACCAGCTCCTAAAGGTTTATCTAAAACCAGCTTTCTCCTCTGAACTCCAGACTCAAGCATCTAACATCTTCACTTGAATGTTTAATAAGTATCTCAAATGTAAACTGTCCCAAACTGAGTTTGTGCTGTGGCACTGAATATCTGCTCCTCTAAGTCTTCCTCACTCTTGACGCCTCTCTTTCTTGAACACTTCACAGCTAAGCTGTCAGCAAATCCTGACTCTGTGGTCACAATGTATCTAGGATGCTCTGCTACCATCTTTGTCTAAGGCTTCATCACTTCTTGCCTGGATTATTCCAACAGCCTCCCAACTGGGCTCCCTGTTTCCACCCCAGTCCTCCTTCAAACACTGCTCAACACTACCTGCATGAGCCTGCAAAATGTAAATTAGATCATGTCACTCCTGCACCAAACTCTTGCTGAGGAAAAGCCAAAATCACTACCACTTGCCTATAAAGCCCTCTGTTATCTGGGTCCCAATGCCCTGACCTCACCTCCCCTTATTCATTGCACCTCGGTCACAGTGGCCTTCTTACTGTACTTGGAACATGACAGGCAAGCTCCTTTGCCCAAAACAGAGCCTTTGCCTTCACTTTTCCCTCTACCTGGAATGTTCTTTCCCTCATTACCCACACAGCTTGCTCTCTCCAGTCTTTTATGTTTACTCAGTAAGACATCCCCCATCAATCCCTGGCATTTTCTACCCCCGCTTCCCTGTTTCCATTGCTTTTCTTCCTTGATGACTTACTACACTATGCCATTAACATATTATAACGCTGGGGGAAAGGGTGTTCTCAGCCAGGGTGAATCCCCTATAAAACCAATGAAACCAAAATAAGTCAAGGGAAAGGGTAGGTTGGGAGAAACTATTTTTATTGCTCACAGCTTACTCCAGTTCGCTAGCTAGACCCGGCCCCATGTGTCTCCTCCGGCCACCACTCACCTCACGCTGTGTTGCCACAGCCCACCCTCTACCTCCTGCCTACCCCTTGTGGGAGGAACTCCACTGGCAGGTCCTTGTTGACTAGCAGACACTGGGAGAGTACCAGGACTGGAGGGAGGAGAGAATGGCCATTTTCTCCCCACCACTTGCTGCCAGATCAACAGGAGCTCTGCAGTGGTAAACACATATTGATATGTAAATAAACTAAGACTGGGTGGGAGATTCTGGAAATTCTGTCATTTACCAAATAAGATTTGGTGTACTTATACATTTTATTTGTCTTTCAGTCACATCAGAATGTGAACTCTGAGAGCTATAGCAAGTCTGTTCTGTTCACCATAGTATCCCCAACACCTAACAGTGCCCTGCACCTAGTAGGCACATAATATTTTAATAGATTTTAAAGAGTTTTCAGCAGAGGAATACCACAGTCAGACTTGTATTTTAGTATAATAACTCTCATGGGGTTAAGACTAGACTGAGGATGGACAGGGAAGAGCTGAGAGACCATTTAGAAGGTATGGCAGTAATCCAGGGCCACAATGTACAGCCACGCAGATTGTGCACTGTGCAACTCCAGTGAAATGTAAAAAGGTACTCCCTGGAGATACATAAAAGGGCTGCTGCCCTTGTGGAAACCACACAGGTGATTAGAAGAGGTCAGAGTCTGCCTATGTTTTGAAGTAGAGCCCACTATGATTTAACTGACAAATGTAGGATGTGAAAAAAGTTAGAATTAAAGATATTTCGAGGATTTTTGGTGCAGATGTAAAAACTGACATTAGTACAACTGACAGGTTAAGTACAACAATCACCCTTTTCAGAAACGCTTGCCACATTTCAAATCAGAGTACACAATCGGGGCATCATTGTCATCACCTGGCCCCGCCAAATCCTATCTCCAACTATACTTATCTACTCATTAAACCATTTGCTACATCATTCCTCAAAGCCCTGTACTTTCCAATTTCTCTGCCTTGCTCATCCTATACCAACTCTTAACTTCATCTAACCAAGTCTTAACTGATTCAAATGACGCCTCCTCCAAGATGCCTTTCCTGATTCCCCTAAATCAAATCAATCTCTCATCCACATTTGTATTCCAACCCTTCCTTCTGTGCCTTTTTAATATCACTTACCTAGTAAAGTAGTATGAGGTATTTGTTTATAACCATTCACAGCCCTCATCTAATCACCAAGCGCCACCTGGACTGTGCGCGCCCTACAAATAGGACCCACTTGCTGTATTACTGTATTCTGGCTTTTCAAAAATACCTACTCTGATGTCTCACAGGAAGCAGACAAGACATTTTATACATGTCTATTGAGAGAATATGAAAGCTAAGCCAATTTCAAAGGTCAGATTTCTCGCCCGCTGAGGATATAGGTCCTGTGCAAGGCGGGGTTCCAAAGCTCTGGTTTCAGAAAGCAAGACATTTTCTGCATCATAAAAGATCCCGGCAGGAGACTCTCCGTAATGAAATATGTGTCCCCGCAACCACTCTCAGGGTTAGACATGACTCTACGTCAACTGACTAGGGGCAGACTTTGGCTGACTGGTTGGAAATAACCGCGCAAAGCTGGACGTCGCCAGAACCACCCCACCTCCCCCAACGCGCAGGGGGGCCGCCTACCCATTGCCTCCACGCAGGCGAAGCGCAGGAGCCCGAGACGCGCAGGCGGAGCAACGCTCCGCGCCACTCAGCTAGGTGGGCAACGCAGCCAATCGCAGGTCCCTTCCGGCCAGCCCGAGGCTGGGGGCCGAGGGGCTCGACCCGAGCCGAGCTCCCATTGGCGGAGACGGAACCGCCCACCTACAACCCCGCTCTTCTCGCTCTAGAGTGCGGCTGGTGCGCTAAGCGTTGCGGGGCGGAGGACCTTCGACACCTCGGCATTCCCAGACTACCTCCTGCGGCGCCCCCACCTAGCTGGTCCTCCTCTTCCCCAAGTCCTGCTACCCATCCGGTCCTCCAGCTAACTGCCGGCTCGCTCATGTTCCAGGGCCTGAGTCGGCGGTCTGACCGTTGTCCGGGCATTCTTCCCAGGCTGCCGCAAAAGAGGAACCACTCCCCAAGTCCCCAAGAACAGAGCGTCATGGAGGACGCAGGAGGCGGGCGAGGGATGCGGAACAGAACTGGGAGGAAGAGGTGAAGAAGGGAGTAGTGCCCAGAGCCCGGGGCTGGAAGGAAGGGCTGCTGGCCTCGGTTCTGTCTCGGCCTCTGACTACGATGTGACCTTGGGCCGGTTCCTTCCCTTCTTGCGGGCCGACGTAGTCTACTGTAAAATGAGGCTGCAGGGAGAGACCAGTTTCAAGGGTTTCCCCCTGAAAGCTTCGGGGCTTCGTGTTCAACATGGACCTCTTGCCGAGCAAATTATTCCGAACAATAAACCCCTGCGGGGCTCCCAGAGCACGGACTATAACTCCGGGAGGACCGTGGCCGAGGACCTCCTGGGGTTGAGATGGGTCTGGGCGGGATCGATCTACCTTCCCTCACCCTTACTCAGGACTCGGCTGCAGCGCCAGGCCTACAGAACTCGGTGCCGCTTCCGCGGCAGGAGACCCGGCTAAGGGGCCGCGCAAGGTCAAGCCAAACTGAGTAGAGGGCACCGGCACACCCCACCCGAGCGTCAGAAATGCGGATCCCTCCTCTTACCCCAAACCAAATGGTGCGTTCGTCCTCACCTAGCGCTTGGCCGGTACTGCGCTCCTAGTTTGGACCACCGAGGGAGGGGTGCAGTCGTGGTTTCCTTCTAGAAGCCACTCTACTAACTGCAACTGCCGCCGCTTTCAGGCCCAGCTACCGGGATGCGCCTCCACACCTGGGGTGCGCGCTGTAGGGCGGCGCTGGGCGGAGCCCGAGGTTGGCGCCGCAGGGGCGGGGAGTGTCCCCGCACGTCCTCCTCGGCCTTTTGGAGTCGCGCCTAGCCCTCCTCCGCAGCGGGTGCCCCCAGTCGCTAGGCACCCAGCCCGGTATTAACCGCCTGCAATCCGTCCAACTCACCCCTAAGCCTAGCGCAGATCTCCACCGCCATCCCCTTTTTTGGAGCGGGCGTGGAAAGATTTCAGCTCCGGGAGTGGTGAGCTGGGAGGAGAATGTGCCACTCCAGCAAGTAAGGAAACCTGGTGGCTTTTTTGACGAGGCCCCCTCCAAGTCCTATGCATGTTTGCTCTTTTAGATGTCATCGGGGTGGGTTGGTTCGCTTTTAAGTTTCTCTTTTGATCAGATTAAATTTATTTCAATATTTGCTCCTATGGGTCTTTAGAAGTAATTTAAGAATAACACAACTTCCCAGAGTGTGTGCCTGCCTGCGCCAACTTTCCAGGATGAGAAACTGAGAGAAGGGAACTATCGGAGCAATTAGTGGCAGAGTTGTTTAGGTCAAATTACACAGAAGGACCGATTGGGAAGGGACTAGGCAGCTGATAAAGAGAGCAAAGTACTGGCCTGGTGGAGCTTTAAAGAAACCTGTCAATTCTGTGAATTTCTTAAAGGCTGAAGCTGTGTCGTTCTTTATTCCCAGCTCCTGGCACATAAAGCCTTGAAGAATTGGAGAATCGTGGAGGTAGAATGCACTTGATTCTCTCTGCCCATTCCACAGACTCAAGCTAGAGTACTTGCTCTATTGCTGTTTCACTCTGAACATCATGCCATAGCCGTAACCTAAATCTTTATATTGGGTCATACACATTACTAGATACACAGTTAATTATAGGAAGAATTTAAATTTCCACCCAGGAAAACCATAGATTCTGACATTGCACTGAGAATTAAATGGAAATGTAATTCTACTCTGGAAGACAGGGAAGGGACTTGTGGCCAACTCCACAGCTTCCCAGCCTATTTACTCCAGCTTAGCTGTGTGGTGACTGGCAACATACAGGTGTTACCTGGCAGTACCTTGCCTCAGCTGCAATTAGTATCTTCCTGCCTCGTGGCTTCTCTGTCACTGCAGCGTGAAACCCCTGCAGGAACCCACTGACCATTCTCACAAAGGCATACAACTGGGAGTGCAAGGGAACTAACACCTCGTGTAACTATGTCCCAGGCACAGTAGGTGGTAGAGAAATACTCCGCTCTTCTGTTCTTCTGGTGGGCAGTTCTGAGGTACAACTAAGATGGTAGAGCCCAGTTGCCCATACTAGTGCCCAAACTTGATCAGTTTAATAATGCACCCTTGGGTTTCCTTTCTCTTTCCTCCTTTGCCTGCTTAACTCATCCCAGTCCTCCACTCCTGCTCCTTGGGATTCATCTCCAAAATACACCACCTGAACACAAGTTCTTGTGCAGAGTCTGGTTTTGGGGGGAACCCAGACTAAGCCAGTGGTTAATCCAAAAGAGGCATCTTAGTCCACCTCTCAGGGCCATTCTCAGCAGATCCTTCCCAAGACTCTGAGCTTTTGCTCCTTTCATTTCCCAGTTGCCCTGCCCTCTAAGGCATCACTGATAAGCTTTTAGAAGCAGGTAGGAAGTATTAGAGACACCCAAGGCATAGGGCCAGCTGAAGGGCTGGATCTAGGTGGGAGTGCATCAAAGCCATTCTCAGCCCCACCTTAAACCTCTCCCCTCTTCCCAAGGTCCTGGCGGCTGGCTGAAACCAGAGGAACTCTCAGCCCTGGAGTTGAACATGGAAGTAGAGACGGTGTGATGCCCAGGCCACTCCCATCACAGCATATACCAAGATTCTGTCTCTTCCCTGCCCTCCCCTTCCTCCCACCACCCTGTAAAAGCAGTTCCTCTGCCCAGATACATGGTCTCAGGCCAAAGTCTTCAGCACCTAGCATCTCATTTCAGCACCAAGAGGTTGCATGGCAATTATCAAGCTAGGTTTGGGAAGGAAACAGCTCTTAGTCCCTGCCTTTGAGGAAGGAAATGAGACATGTACATAAGCTAAATGAGTAATTAGAGTCCTGTAAGTCTTCTAAAAAGGGACATGTAAGTGTAGTGGGAGTTCTGGTAGGGCTACAGGTCAGGCTTTATAGAAGTAGCATCCAAAAAGATTATCAGTTGGAAGGAAGCACCCCAAAAGATCCCCATGCCCAGAGTCCCAGTGTTTGCTCCTATCCCTGTATCTGTTCCTGACTGCCTTCTAGCTCACATCCTTCTTGAATGCCAGCTCAAGTTAATCCGTCACCTTTGTAGGCCCCAGCCCTCCCCTGTTTGATCTAACCTTGTCCCATCTTTGAATGCCCCTGGTCTTCTCCACTCTCAGAGTTAAGTGTTGGATCCACATTAAATCCTGCCCATAGCCAGCTGCCTTGAAGCCCTCCAGGGGTCTGCATGGGCAGTGCCCTGTGCTGAGTCCTCCAGGGGGTAGAGAATACCACCAGTTACTATCCCAAACTGCCAGGCCAGCTACTATCAAGTAGCTTTTCCTATAATTGACAGAAAGAAAAAGCCCAATGTACTACTCTAAAACAAAGCTGTGGCGCTCGGAATCTAGTGTGCTGAAAAGAGCCCTTGATCCCAATGTGGCTGTAATACTGAATTCTGCCCATGAAGAAGTGGAAGCCCAAACCTTTCCCTGCAGTGAATGAGCAGGTAAAACAAGTGGTTGGGCCTTACAGGGGAGAAGAGAGGTGTATCAGGCACCTCATCCCCACCCTCTTCTGTCTCCTGCCTCTAATGTATTTAATTAAGATGATTGTTTAAGCCACAGAGCTTGGAGTTGGGCAGTAGTTTGGAAATTTAAGCAAAGTTCTATTGAGGCTATGGGATCTTTGGAAAGGGAAAAGTATGAGGATATTAAAGAACAACTGTATCCCCATCTCTGCCTGTCCACCCTCAGCTGCAGCAACCCATTGCACTCCTTCCCTCTTTCTTCAGTTTACATAAGTTCAGCGCATATTATATCCCAGGTGTTGTGCTGTGTTCTTGGAATGCATTGATAACCCAGTGTGGGGTCCTTGTCTTCAATATGACAGCCTAGCAGTTAAGGCCAGATCACTGTTTCTCCGGCTATTCCAATGCCTTGTGTGAATTACTGTACTTGGTCTCTGCAACAATTCAAAAACTCACTTGAGATTGTTCCCATTTTGCATCTGAGGAAGTCGAGGCCTAGAAAGATCAAATAATTGCCCACAGCAGCACAGCTAGGAAGTGACAGAGACAGGTCCCACACAAGTCTGTCCCACTCCAAAGACTTTCTTTCCAAACAGTACCAATTGTCCCAAAAGGTACTTTCCAAACAGTACCAATTGCCTTGAAAAAAAGGATTAAAATCCCAGTTTATAAGGCTATTTCAAGTACAGAATTTTTTGTAACCAGTTGGGCGTTGTTTCTGTGAGTAATCCACCAGAGGCTGGAATTGTTTTGTTACATCGAAGTTTCAATGAGTACTATTCAGATGCCCTCAACTATGAAAATTATAGGTTCTAATTGATCATACTAACTTTGAAAGACAAAAATATGGGACACTCGATGCTTAAATCTGATTTAATTTTTTTCTGAACTTTGAAATCTCTTTTTCCAAAGAATATTTAATGCTGCAATAAACTTTAAAAATCTGGATACAAGACCATATTCTTATTTTTATTAATATCTTTTCTGGTTTTTTTCCCATGAATGTGTTATTTATATCTTCTGCTTAATGGTACCAGAGGCAGAATCTACTATTTCAAGAGAGAAATCAAATTGCAAAGCTGCTGGCTCCCTGGAGTTGCCAGCACCTCTTTCCCAAGGCCTATGTGCATCTCTCCACAATCTCCCCTCACACTAGGCTCTTGCAAAGACCTGAAGGTTGTCCTGCTGATAGTTGTTCTCCCATGCAGCATTCTATCACCTTAGCTGGCCAGCAGGGCTCCCTCAGCACTGTCAGTGCAGGATCCTCTCCAGGCGAGTTACAAGCCAGATAAACCTGAATCCTCTTAATGTTCAGTTAATCGGTATAATATACACTCCTGGAAGCCTTTTCACAGCTTTATGTATATTACTTCAATGCTTGCCTTTAGCTGGAAAGGGAAATTCTCACACTTGTATGATAAGCAAAACGAGCTAATGATAAAATACAATATCCAGAGTTCTGGATGTTTGTGCATTTGTCATCAAAGAGGCAAAGTTCAGCTGCATAACTGTTTGTTTTAAGCTTAAAATGTCTGAGAGTCTGGCACTCTGACAAGCAGAGGATTAAAGGTAGATGCCACTGCTTAGGGACACAGAAGAAAAAATGTCAAAGGGCAACTCTAGGTGACTGCATCCTGAGCTTCCCTGTCAGGTATGTGTAGGAATAAAGGAGCACAGGAATGGACCTGAACAGAATGAGAAATATCCAGGGAGCACCCTAAGTATGACCTAGAATCATGAACTAAGAAAGACTGTAAGGTGACCAAACAGCTTTGGACAGGGTCAGCTGCAAGTGGGGCCAAAACAAACCCCTTGAACATCACAATGGAGGGAAGGAAGAGTATATCCGGAATACCCTTAAGGGCGTGTCTTGCTAATGGGTTTCAGCCCCGGGCAAGTTCCCTATGGATTCAGTGAGACCAAGGAATGACAATGGAACGTTCTTGGAGTGAAAGGGTTTATTACCCAGCTTGTTGTCCCAGCGAGAGGTCGAGTAGAGAATTAAGTCTTCATCCAACAGTCTGCAGGTCTGTAATCCTCCTTCATCTCTGCCTCCACCCAGAGCACTGGGCAGAGCTCTTTATGTAGTTACTCAGTCAATGATAGCTAATTGCCTAGGGCGTGGAAGCAGTAGCCTAGCAGCAGGCCAGCTACATCATCAAATAGATTAGGGGCAGGTGAGGGTCCTGGCCTTAGGAACCTTCACTTTATCCACAGGGAATCTTGTAGTATTACCATGCCCTATGATTAACGTCAGTGGAAAATTATAACAACCAGTTCAGGAAGGACTGCTGATGGCCTAGATCCTTCATCAGTGAAGGTTTGGGTCACCCCACCAGGTGAAATACCACGAGCAGCTGAAGACAAAGGGAATGTGGAACAGTGTCTTGCCAATGGGTTTCAGCCCCAGGCAAGTTCACTATGGATTCAGCAAAACCAAAGAATAACAATGGAATGTTCTTCAGGTGA